CTGGGGTCAGTTCCACAGGGTCAACTGGGCCCTCAGTGTCAATGGTAGACAGGGGCTCTGTCCCAGGACCAAAGCACCTGTTGGGTCTAAGCATTCCTTCGGGGCCAAACCAGGGCCCTCAGCATCATTGGTCTCCCTTTTGGGACCAAAGCATCTCTCAAATCTGAGTGGTCTCAGGATCAACCCTTGGTGTCGATGGTTAACAGGGTCTCTCAAGGTGATCTAACCTTTGGTTAGTGGCAGCAGCCATGTTTTTTGCATGCTTGGCCACTTTCCCGGCCATGCAGTCCTCTCTGAAGATGACCTAGACACTGTGGGCAATGCAGGCTATGTTTTCAGGCCTGTTCAGTGAAGGCCTGGCAATGCAGGCACAATTGCTGACATCTTCCTCACTTAGACAGAAAAAGCAGAAGCACTGTCTGTCTGTCTGTGGGTGGGGGAGTTTACTCCCATAACAGAAGCACTTTGATGCCATCATGGTAGATGGGGAAGTCAGAGAGCAAAGAATGAAGAAAGGACTAGTAGAAAGACACAAAAAATCAGAGAGAGCAGGAAGGAAACTCTCATATAGATAGATAGATAGATAGAACAAATTATATCTATCTATATCTATTTCTCTCTCTCTCTCTCTCTCTCTCTCTCTCTCTCTCTCTCTCTCTCTATATATATATATATATATATAAAATTTCTGAGCAAAAATGACATTTGTGGAGAGATGAGTAAAACAGAGGCTGAGTAGGCAGCCAAGGAGGAGAAAGTGGTAAAGAGAAAAAGGTAATAAAATAATGACATTATTATTAAATTTCATCCCAAATAGGAAGTCTTTCAGGCTGTCCTACAGGCCAGGAAAGAGGAAGTCATGTTATTTCCATGAAAGGGTCAACTTTGAGCAGATAAAATGGTGACAGAGAAACAAACCCTTTTTGCTTGCTGCCATTACTGCCATAGAGTGCCTCCAAGACAGACTCTAGCCCAGGGGTGTCAAACTCGCGGCCCGTGGGCCAATTGCCGGGCCAGGCGGGGCACGGGGGAGGGGCTCTGCGGCCTTCAAAGTGCCGGTGGCGCCCGGGCCGGCCTCCGGGAACCACGCGGGACGAGCGGCCCACCACCACCGCGGGGGTGGAACACTTGATGCGGCCCAGCCTCACCCAGACTCTACTTCCAGCGGCCCCCAGGTAAGTTGAGCTTGGGACCCCTGCTCCAGCCTATGTTCTATTGCATTCATCCTATGTTTTCTGACAAGTTTTCGACATTAAGCTTGCTTTGCAGATATAACTTTATGGTTTATATGAAGACATGTGGAAGTAATTGTGTCTACAAGCCACGCTATCTTCCAGTTTCTGGAGTCAACTAGAACTTCAGAACTACTTCTACCTACATCTGCCACATCTGTGGAAAAATCCTCCAAACACCAGAAAACAATCTGAATCCTTAAGTCTCCAGGGTCAGTCCATCAAAATCAGTCCACAGAGGTTTATTGAAACATGTAGTCTAATTCATACAATGATTAGTCTATGACAGAGTAAAATTCTTTTTCTTTACATGCTGATTATTTACCCCACCCACCCCCCAGTAGAAAAAAACAAACTGAACAAGTATACTGCTTCATGCATTGAACCCAACATAATTTGAAACAGGCCATGGCAACCAGAAACTGCTCCAGATAAGGTGGTCTTACCTGTGATTGTTGGAATCCCTCAAGACTAGATGTCCTAAAGTCCTCAAGACCTCCACTGGTGTACCAACAGAATCCCAATCCTTCCCCAAGCCACCAGTGTCAGCTACAGACAGTCAGAACAGTCTGGTTGTTGAAAATTGGTTTGTTGTTAGTTGCGAAGTCGTGTCCAACCCATCGCGACCCCATGGACAACATTCCTCCAGGCCTTCCTGTCCTCCACCATCCCCTGGAGTCCACTTAAGCTCACATCGACTGCTTTAGTGACTCCAACTAGCCACCTCATTCTCTGCCATCCCCTTCTTCTTTTGCCATCATGAAAATCAGTAGTGTTTCATAAATTCAGAATGGATGCAAAGACCAAATATTGATGGGGGACAAAGAGCTGACAGAGGTCTATAAGCATCAAACAACAATTCACATTTTTCAATTAAATTCTAAAAGACAAGTTCACTAAATCACAGAGATGGAGACTGGATGAAAAATATTGCATTGCCTTTTGTTTTAATAATAAAGAAATGAAGATTAAACATTCTAATTCATGAGCTGTTTTTCTGAGAAACTTAACTTCAACGTATGTTAGAAAGCATGGTGATGTGGCTTCTAAGAAAGAATGGGGTTCAAAGTGACATAGAAATTTAGTAGAGAAAGAGGGGAAAGTATTTTAATATAATACTTGTATCCATAATGTATATTTACAGCTTTGGTCAACTCTACAGTCAGAAAACTGAAGAAAATTCCTTAGTCTATTTGAATGCTGAAGGTCATGCAACTTTTCTAGAGTGGTCATCTTCTCTTGATTTGTAACTAGATTTATAGTTAACTTAATGCCAGGTAGCAGCAATAATTTCAGTTCATGTAAAGTGAAAAAATGTGTTTGATTTTCTGAGCATAGCATGAGAGACTGCGGATAAGCTCAATTATAAGTATTCAGTTTCACAAGCACAACTCACCTGAATAGTCCTCTCAGCTGAACATCTGTTGCCATCATGCTCAAACACACCAGATGCATCACAGATGTATTATAAGCCAAACTTTCCAACAAGTAAATAATATTTCAGGAAATCCTTCAGCTGGTATTGCCGTAAAATTATTTTGCATGTTTTGGCAATACTATTGAAAATGTATTCTTATACAATGTTAAAGCCAGTCATATTATATTACCTGGCTGATTTTCCAAACAATGGCAAGATCTATAATATTCTGTATCATGAATTTAATGTCAAACAGAAATTAGAGCAATGCCAATTTAAGACTGTTCAGAGCAAAGCTAAGGTATTTGCTTACCAGAAAGTGGCAAGCCGAAGAAAAATTGAGCTACAAAACTGTCTAACAAAATGCAGCTCATTTACATTCACTTGCCCTCCTACAACTATCTTGAAGGTGAGATTTAAAAGCTGGGATTTTGTCTCTATCAAATCTACAAGTAGAAATTTCACTTGGTGACCTTTATGGTATACTGATGAAAAGGAAACAGAGCAAAAAAAGAACAGAAAGACTGGTAAAACAGTAAGATCTTTCAAATTGTTTAGTGGAACAAAAAGACACTATCCTGCAATCAGAGTAAGACAATCCAGTTTGGCCGGCTTTTTATTCTTTTTTTCTCCTCTTTTACTTGTCAAACATTCTGCTTTCAAAATAGATACCCTACTTACTTCTGCTTAAACCCTCTTAACTTGAGAGGAAAAACCCCTGAATATAGTAGGTGAATAGGGAAGATTCCTGTGTTTTATTTACTTTCCTATTTTTTTACCATAGTGACCTTGCAAAAGCACTTAATTTTTTCATTCCGCTTCCCCACCTGTGACTATGCCTTCAACAAAAGCAACTCCCTCCCTAAGCCACTTGCAGCTGGAACTAGACTGTAAATATTTCACAGAAAAAGGAATTTCATAAAAGACACTAACAGAGTAGTGTGCCCGGTACATGACAAAGTATCTCCTCAGTAGCTTCTTCTAGTAACGGGGCTAGAAAACAAGAGACCATTTAATATCTACGCAAAGATAGTCAGAAGACTTTACTCTTGCCTACAAATGCAAAAGGATATGAACAAGCTATCAATCCAGATTACTGGGTAGACATTTTCTGAAAGGAAAGTGCAATACCCAAGCTCTTACAGCAGGGGTCTCAAACTCGCGGCCCGCGGGCCAATTGCCGGGGCGGGCGGGGCCCGGGGGAGGGGCCCTGCGGCCTTCCAAGCGCCGGCGGTGCCCGGGCCGGCCTCCGAGAGCCATGCGGGACGAGCGGCCCACCACCACCGCGGGGGTGGAACACTTGATGTGGCCCAGACTCTACTTCCAGCGGCCCCCAGGTAAGTTGAGTTTGAGACCCCTGTCTTACAGGGTGTGCTAGACAAGCATTAACAGTGACACACTTACAATTGTTTTAATCCTTCCGAATGTGAGATTTCGTTTTGACCATCACTGAAAGCCATTCTGCATATTAAAGAAAACTCTTAGAATCAAACCCATGAAGGTTTGCATGTGAAAAGGCAACATAGGGAATGTCCTCATATGTGATCTGTGTAGGTAGCTAGCCATTATTTCATTGTAGCAGCTTCACTGCATGCTCTCTTGCTACTACCAGTACCTCCCCTGCCACTCGCCACATCTGTCTGCCTTCCTTTTGGTCACCACTGCATCTCCCTCTCCCATGCCTCTCTGCCCACCTTCCCCGTTTGTTTGTATTCCACCTGCTCACCATCCTCTCTCTCTCCCTCTCTCACTGCCCTGCCACCCACCCTGAGATGCTTGAGTGGCAGGTGGCCAACCTCTCTGAAGAGATCATTAAGGAAAGCCCAACCCATAATGCCTGCTCTAAGGAAGAGCCCCTTAGAAGCAGATATTTGGGCCTAATTCTCCTCTACAGACTGCTGCTGCCCACTTACCATTCTGAGAGGATTCACAGAGTGGGTGGCAGGGACAACGGCAATGGAAAAGAGATGGAGGAAAGACATGGCCACTGCGCAGAATGGGTGAGCAGATGTGTCAGCAGCGTGCAAGTGAATGCGCAGTCCACAGCAGGACTTACTGGCTGGACAGCATGCAATATGCTACTCCTCCGACCACCTGGGGGTGACACATCCCTCTGTCTTATGAGTCAGCTGGCTCTATGTTTTACATTTTTTAAAAAAGAAGCTTCTTCTGGAAAGTTGCATGGATGATCAATGCTAACCTAACTTCTTTCATGTGAATCTCAGGGAATGATGCACAGAATCATTTCACCCATAAGATATCACAGAGACTTGGGACTGCGTAGCATGGAAAGAAAGAGGTGCCTTCAGTACACCATGTGGTAATGTGAGCAATTTGGCTCAGTCACTTACTTAGTGTTTTCCAAGGTCTTCTGCATTTTCTTGGTCATCTTCTCAATGGCGGCCTGTCGTTTACCCTCCGGGAGAAGATCTATTTTGTTCAAAACCACTATCATCTTCTGACATGCAATCTGCCCAATCACCAAGCACTCTGCTGACTGAGTCTGCATTCCTTTCGTAATATCTATCACAAGCATCATCAGGTCAATGATCTGGGCACCTGAGAAATAAAATAAAATAAAAATAAATCAATGATCAGTGGCAAATTTGCAAGGCTGAGACACCATCTCACTAAAATGTGGGCTATGAAAGCAACCAGATGCATTATACCAAGACAAAACAAGTGGCTTGGATGATAAGCTCCTAAATTATCCAGATAGCCTTAATTTTAGTGTTGGAACAGAATATTAAAATCTAGAAAAAATATTTCTCTTCTTCAGCATGTCTCCTGAGTTCAGAATCCTGCAACCTCAATTTAATTTTAATTGAACAATTGGAATATTTTTAAAAACATTTGAGCTGAAAGCTTAGGTGCTATCCAAAAGTTTAATGGCTAAAATTTGAAAATATGCTCTAAATGCTATCATGTTCGACAGCAGCTGACACCACTCTTGACTGGCCACTGAGTTGCATTTGCCATGAAAGACCGACAGAGACTCATTCTTACTATATGAAACTCAAAGCTGTAGCACTATGTCAACCTGGATTCTACTCTGTGCTACAGTGTTCTACCAATCATCGCTCAAGGCAACTTCAGCGTTCTGCCTCCAGAACCTCCACCTGCTTAATCCTGCCAATATTGCACTCCGCTTGTATGCCATGGCAGGAAACAAACACCAGCACTCACCAGCAGCCATGGAAGTTATTCCTTGTCAGTGTTTCAGCAGGATTTTGACCCCTACCCTTAAAAGTTTGAAGCCTGTGTTAAGTCCTTGTCTTATTTCAACCCTAATGACTATATAGTTTCCCAGTCTGAATATAATAAAAAATACACTTAAGTGAACTTTTTCATGTTTACTCACAACCCACCAAGAAGAGGGACAGTCACAATACTCATTAATATCTTAGCTTATTTATTCCTCAACAGATCCTGACCTGGACGGATCCAGACCTGGGTGGGCTGAAATAGGTCCAAATGTAGTCAAAGTTAGAGTACACACAATGAGACTTCATGAATAACTTGTCCCACTTATATCAATGGATGTATTGTAAGAACTTGAAGGTATGCTCTATTTGAAGACTGTCTGGTCCAAATCCAGTTCAAAGTTAAGGACCACAAGATGGAAGAGCAAGGCCCTCAATTTGTCTATCAATATTAGCAACTGGACAGCAGACCCTACAGACACACAGGTAATCTCATCACTGTCTTCCATGCAATGAAACTCAAGCTTTTTTTTTTTCTTTGATCCAGATATTATCTCACCACCACCTTCTGAACTCATTCAGTTCAGAATGTTCATTCCCTCCCTACTAGACAGATGCAATAAGCATGGAGGCAATGGGCAAGCAAACTGGTGGCTGGTCAAATTTATTCAAACACTTTGCCCACATATTCAGTCTCTAAAAACTGAAAGTCATCAAGCAAGATCAGACCAGATGACATACTAGACAACTCTACAGACTGATCTGCCTTGACTGTGAAATCTAAGTCACGATGGATATAAGCATTTTTGTCCCCAAAATATTATGCAAACGTATCACGTCATGCTGACAGTATGCTATCACATCTCACACCAAGTCTTAATCCAAAAAGCCCAAAATCACTTAGAAAAGCTTTACTGGACATTGAAAGGACATCATGATGAAGAAGAAAAATTGCTGCTTCGTCACCATCACAAAGTTAGTTCAGTAATGAGTATTTCCTCATGTTCAATCTGATTTAAGTCATGTCTTTTCTCCACTTGTCAACGAGCCATCTCACAGCTCATTGCATTGCTCTCAGCTTATACATATACCAAGGTACTGAATGATCTCTAAAAAGCGAAAGAAGACAAACTCAGGACAAGCTCAGAAGTTGTTCTTTCAACTGCCAGGGTCAAATCCATATTCCACAGTGTAACCATAACTTCAACAGGACCACTTGCCAAACTAGCTGGAAAATCCTTTGGAAGCCATTAACCTTTTTGGGGACAGACCACACCAGTAAGTCCTCCACCACTTCGGAGAGGAGAATACTTGCTGCAAGCAAGTCAACAAGTCATGGTCCAACACAAACAAGAGAACAGATGTAAAATCTTCCACTTTCAGAAATCACAGTAATTATTTCTGCATTATCTATTCTCATATCTACAGTAACAAATGCACATTTGGGGCACATTGGTGCCCTCTTTCGGCAAAGCATAAGTGGCCACCCTCTGTTTCTTATAACATCTCAAACTTCTAAGACAGACCACCCATATTCTTTTTACTGCGTGTCATGAGTAGAAACACTGTCCCACAAATATAAAATGTCTTCTTCTTGGGACCATGACAAGAACGACATATCTTTGGAAGTGTTTGACAAACCTAACAAACACTGTTATTTTACTCACTCTACTTTACAGGATGTTCTTAGATAGAAACATTTATGAATTAGTAACACACAATTTCCTCCTATTTATACCCTATTTAGAGTAAAATCCCTTCCAGATACCAACATGTTGCAAGAACAAAGCAGTAAATCCAGTTCTAGACAGTGCACATAAAATGTCACATAAAATTCCATAGCCTCTCTCAGAGCAGAATCAAGTGGGGCTGCATTTGAAGGCAATTTGAACTCAGACCTGTTTCTCTGTTTCTCATGCTGATTCCTGGCACACATGACATTAACCAAAGGGGCATCATTAAGCTCAGGAAAGTAGCAAAGGGATGAAAATGAAGTGAGTCTGGCTAACTGAAGCATTCCAGATGAAAAGAGGTTTTCAGGCAGAGAATTGTTCCAGAGCTCTTTCCACCAAAAATGCAAAGGATAGGAATACTAATGGATGATTGGCAATACATGAACGGTTTGTTTTACCTTGTAAGATTTTTCTGTTATGGAGTTCACAAGCTTACAGCAACTCTTAAAAACAAACTGACAGCACCTACAGCCTAACATCCTCAGGAGCCCACCTACAACCTAACAGTCCCAGGGGCCTGCTGCATAGAGTGCTTGGTTTCCATACAGAGATGGGACTTACAGGGTGCCTGACAAACAAAGTATTTTATGAATTCCTGCCTTACATAAAACAAGTGGGCAATAACTCACCACAAAACCCAATTTATGACTATGAAAGATTACCAAGATAGATCTGAGATTTTCTGCATGGATTAAGGATTTTACAGCCAGGGAAATATAAAGATAAACCTATATATTATTATGCATATAATCTCATGAGCAGAAAGCTTTTAATTCAGGTATGAAAACACTATCAGAGCAGCAGCGGTAGGGACATCAGAAACAAGGACAGGAATAAAACAAGCTGATCCTATCTCACCATAAACCTGAACAATGTGCTCAGAGAACATCTTCCAAAGACACTGTGGGGAAAAGGAATAAAAAGAGAGTAACTGAACTGTTTTAGTTTTTCAGAGGATATTGTTCCATACAGATAAAAAGTGATCTGAGAGATGAGAAAGTTCTTCAGAAACCACCAAAGGCAGACAAGTGGAACTCAAAATGAATCTAAATGAAGCAGGCATGCAGAAAACTGATCTGCATACATGACAGTATAACTGAACAGGAGAATGATTACAATCTATCACGGATACAGCTTTCATGGATCAGATAGAACCAATTACAAATTATGAGAGTCTTCAATAAAAAGAAAACATTTAAACCTATGAAAGAAAAAGGTGTACTTTTTTCTTTAATCTAAGAGTTGTTCTCCAGAGAAGCTCCTAGAGGAAATTCCAAATGATCTCCAAATGGAGAGACTCAAATTTTTTGACTTAAGGGTCATTGTCAATGTACCTGTACAGGTTAAGACATGGGCAAAAAAATAAGGCTTCCTAAGAAATAGACACATACCTTTGGTCATCATTTGACATTATCAATAAGGAGGAAAAACTAAGGCAGTTCTCAAACTCATCAAGCATGCTTTCTAAACCTCTTAACTGCAGTGCCATGTAAGCGCTGCTACAGAAAAGACTCCAGCTCTTTTCCTCCCTCTGCTATACAGGGCAGTACTGACTGACCCAGCATACCGTATTTCATGACCCCTCCACAGTTAAATGCCCAAGTTCTATATGTGCATCTCAGATATGAAAGATTTACTTCAGATGTTACAAATTTTGGGGGATAAGAATTATGAAGATAGAATCCAATTAATAGGACAAGCTTCTTGATGGGTATCCTGCAAGGAACTGGCATGGGGGAGGGGGAGGAATTGCGCCCAGAATATAGGATGCACTCCCTTATACACACGCGCCTCTGGATTACATAAGGTAAAATATTGTTGAGTCACTAGTACAAGATCATAGGACACAATTAATAAAGTAAAAGAATGATTATAGATGGAGACAGATGAACCTAATGTTTCACCTCCAATAAAGTCTATTTTTTTTCAAAGCATACATTTACTCAATCCAATTTCCACATCAGTTTTCAAACACTTTTTAAAAGTTCACATGAAAATTCATATGCATTTTCATAAGCAAGAAATAGAACCAAATTTTTAAAAACTTCAACACACTAGTTTATATTCCAAGGGAGCTGAGGGTTACTCAGTCCTGTACAAATTAATTCAGTAGGAATTACTCCTATGATGCTGTGCATAGGATTGAAGCCTTAAACTGCTTACAATATAAAAGAATAATTCTGTGCATCATCATCATCATCACCACATTTATCATCATCACCACTGTTGGTTCTCCTGGACCTCTCAGAGGCTTTCAATACCATCGACCATGGTATCCTTCTGGATAGGCTAGCGGGATTGGGAGTTGGGGGCACTGCTTTGCAGTGGTTCCGCTCCTATCTCAATGGCCGATTCCAGAAGGTGGTGCTGGGGGACTATGGCTCTGCACCATGGCAGCTATGCCATGGAGTTCTGCAGGGTTCCATCTTGTCCCCCATGCTATTTAACATCTACATGAAACCGCTGGGAGAGGTCATCAGGAGGTGTGGGCTGCGGAATCATCAGTACGCTGATGATACCCAGCTCTGCCTCTCATTCTCTACCAATCCAGGCTGTACTGAACCAGTGCCTGGCCAAGGTAATGGGCTAGATGAGGGCCAATAAACTGAAGCTCAATCCAGAC